ACTACAGCGCCCTGTTCCGGCAAGTCTGCCCAGTCCCACAATGTCCTCTGTTGGAGCCTCCTAGACCGTGGAAGAGTCCCAGTTTCCCTCACTCACCGAGGGTTGATGCACGGCTCCCCGCTGGTCCTGCTCTCAGCTCCGTTCACTGATTCCTGTTCTCAGAGCTTTCACGCGTCTCTCTCCCTGCCGAGTTGATTCAGATGCAGCAGTGGCGGCAGGAAACCCAAATCGCGGCTTCCAATAGTGCAGGCTCCAGCTTCCATGCTGAGGCTTTATCTGTTCCTGTTACAGTACCAGGATTGCATTCTCAGTTGGTTTCTCTCAGCCCAGTTCGTTCTTGGGTCAGCAGGGTATATCTCCTCTTGGTTAGGATTCCTCACTCCGCACCATTCCTGGATTCTAAGCTGGGTCTCACAGAGAGCCTGCATAGCTGCTGCTATCTGTCCGCCATGTTCTCCCGGCCTCAACCCTTGAGTTCTATTCTGGCTACAGATATTTCTGCCCTAAACTTTGGGGATGGTTTTCTATTTGTGTGTGGTAAACTCTTAGAAGTTAACAGGTCAGTAAAAGAGGGCAGCAGTTAAGTCCCTACGAGATAACAAGTGTCACGCTCTCTCTCCTGAAGTCAACCCCAGAGAAATTCTTGAATCAAGGCTCAGTCCCTGAAGGAGATGTAGAATTCATTGAGGCAGTATGTTCGGGGTGGGTGTCAGGTCTGGCCATACATCACCCAGGGGATTTAGAGAAGAGCTCCCTGAAATCTGCTTTTGCCTCTCTCCCACCTATTTGTGGACTCTATTACTTGTTGCCCCAATGCAGAAATTGGCATGACATACACTAGGTTTTTGGTCTGAGAGTGCAAAGAAATACTTGGTAAAGGTTGCTAATCTTCCCATTCCAGACCCTGGGTGTTTGTAGATTACATTTAGGAAATCAGCCTCATCCTAAAATTATTTCATTTGTGTCTGCTCTGATCTTTATTACCTCATCTATCTATTTACTTTGGGCTGTGACTACAGAACAATACGTTTGCAGAATGCAAGTTAGAAACATAAAAAGACACATGCAAGCGTTTGAGTTAAAGAACACCAGCAATAAGCACAACTCTTCATGCCCTTCCAGGATGCTGTGTATAGAATAAAATGCTACCCTTCTTCAGGTACCTTAACAGAGAAGCTGACCGCAATTTATAACTCCAGAAAAACAGTTATGTGTAAGTGTTATTTCTAGGGCTGTAAATCACTTGTTAAAGGGCCCCCTGTGGTCTGTACTAGGAGGTTGAAGAGTCTGCGACGGAAGGCTACAGGGTCTGCACTAGAGGCTGGAAACTCTGTGCTGGAAGCCAGGGGTGCAATCCAAGGTGGAGACTGGGGTGCTCCCGAAGAAAGAACCAAACCTTCCCTCGTTTCCTTTCTTCATCTCCATTCTGGCAATCGTGCTCCCTAGGGTGCCCCTCCCCAGAACCGTCTGATCCAGTTTAGCTGGGTACTTCTTCCTCAAGTGGACAAAAAGCAGTTAACAATCACAGAAATTAAAACTGAGATGCCATCTCACTCTAGGAGTCTGGCTATCATTGAGAAACCAACCAATAACATGTTTGTGAGGCTGGCAGAGAAAAGGAGCTCTTCTCAACTTCTGGTGAGAACGTAAACTGGTGCAACCACTGTATAAACCCTCAAAAAACTAAAACTAGAGGTTCCAATTGACAAGGCTATGCCCCTTCTAGATATCTTCCTAAAAAAGGTAAACACATCATATCACAGTGATATATGCATATCCGTGTCTATAGCAGCACAGTTTGTAAAAGCTAAATCTTGGAAACAGCCCATATGCTCATTAACAAATGAATAGTTGCAAAAATGTATTTATATACATTGGAGTACCACTCTGCCATAAAAAGGATACACTTGAATCATTTTTAGGTAAATGGATGCATCTCATGATCATAATCTTAGGTGAAATAAATCAGACACATGGGGTTAAATATTACATTGTTTCTTTTGTGCAAATAAGGAGCAAAATGGAGAATAGATACCAGGAATAGGAAGGACATGTTCAAATGGGCAGGGGCACGAAGGAAGGAGCAGGAGAAGGAAAGAAAGAGAAAAAGGATTTAAAGAAAAAGAGAGAACACGAGGAGCAAAATAGAGGCAAAGCTTTTGGAAATGATGAGGTGAGAGAGGGATGAAAGGGGATGGGGAAAAAAAGAATTGAGACATATCGTGTACAGGTACAAATTCCCTGTGATGACTGTGGTCAATATGTATGACAAATATATTGGGGGGAATTTTCATTTGATTCAGTTCTTCCCCTTCGGGTTATCTTCCCAAAAGAATTAAAATTATCATATTTTTTTTTTGACTTTGTATCACTCTCTCCCAAAACAAGATTTTGAAATCTAGATCCAAAATATACATCTTTTTAAAGATTTTTGGTATTTTTTAATTCATGTCCAGAGAAGTATTTGTCTTGTTCCAGCTGTATACATTTTCATCTTGTGCAATGCAATAATCAAAAATCTAATGGTTCCTATTTCCTTAATTTGCACTTCAGATATTACAAATGACATTAGATGTTATTCCATGTGCCCTGGCAATTTATATTTCTTGGGTGACCCACTTGCTTGTGTCTTTATTATTTGCTTACTTATTTTTTCTAATTTATATGAAAGAGTTTTATTATGTTAAAACAGGAACCATGTATCTGTTTTTGTCCACGTTTCCCATCATCTATGTCTTTTTTTGTTTTCTGTGGGACTGGCTGGTTTGAATTTACCAAATATTTATTTTCATCTATGACCAAATCTATCATTTTTGTCCTGTCTTATGATTGATGTCATAGAAAAGTTTCCTTCATGATTAGATTATATGATATTTATAGCTACTGTTAAAAATGAAATCAGGATGAGAGAGCTCTTTGGAAGTATACACATACTGGATCAAATTTTAGCCAGCTGTAACTGTATTTTCTGAAGCTGGCCGCAACACTATCTCCCGAAGCACAAGTTCTGCACATTTGCCACCTTGGGGCTCCCTGGTAATCACTGTGATGAGCCAGAAGAAGCAATGCATGCTTTCTAAGGCAGTGTGACATGACTTCTACCTGGTCAGCTAATACACTTGTCCCAGAAGGCCTACCCAAAGGCCTATGAAATAAAGGGACCCAGGCCATATGGAGACTCCGTGTGCATGTGTGCTGACCATAGCCACAGATGAAACCACTGAATATCAGCGTGTACTGCAAAGAGACATGAGTGAAGGCATCTTCAAATGATTGCTGGTCTCCAGCTCTCAAACTACCTCTAATCTTCAGGAGCAGAGACAAGCCATCCCCTGTGTGTGCTTTTTTAATTTGGACCCAGAGTTCTTGTGAACACAGCAATTTGTTACACAGCATGAGTAACTGGGAAACTTTTTTTTTAAACAGAATTTTGTTTTGTGGTTCAGGCTGGCCTTGCATTCATTACACAGTCCAGGCTGGCCTCAAATTCACAGCAATCCTCCCTCGGTCTCCTAAGTGCTGGGACGACAGGCGTGTACCACCACGTGCAGCAGGAAAACGTAACTGTGTAATCCTTGTCAATCTAACCGGTTCTTTCTTCATGGTTTCCATTTATTGAATTGTGTCACAATAATAACTGCATTATAGGAAGTTGTGAAGACTATAGTACATATCTAAAAATATTTCATATGTGCCTGGAAGATACTATAAAAGATGAAAAATGATAGCAACCACAAAACTTATAAGCAAGTTTTTCTTTATTGCATTTAAATCTTTAATACATTTGAAGTTTATTTTGATTTAATTTGAAAAGTTCTGTGAATTATTTTTCAGTCAAGTCTAAATTAACAGATTGTTGACCAAATTACTGTTCCTATAAAGTTATGTAAAGAAAAGCTTGTGTAACTACGTAAATGCCTAAAGAATAACATTTATATATTAGAAGATATATTTGTTGTGTCATCATATGGAAAAAAAAGGTTCTCCTACATCTTACTCTGTTGATTTGTTCAAGCTGAAAAGTGAAACTTGGAGGAATATTCATCCCACAATGGAGTGAACTGAAAGAAAACCTTCTCCAAGATTAGAACAATTTTATCTAGACTGTAAGGAAGCCTCTGAAATGGATTCTTCTCATGCATGAATAATTAACTTTGACACAGCACACATTTTCACTCAGAAGTACCAAAATAAAACTTTGTTTTTCAAACGGACCACATTTAATTTTAGAATTCCATTCTTAAAATTTAAAGAAAAAAATTCAAGTTAGGGATGTGGCTCAGTGGTCAAGCATTTGTGGGGCCTTGGGTTTGGTCTTCAGAATTGGGGGTGATTAGAGGGGAAATAATAACCAAAAAAGTGGGTTCAGCTGGAGAGTAGCTTAGATTGAATCCCCTGGAAAACTCAGGAGCATGGATTGCATCACAGACCCAACCCCGCCTTAAAGTGGGGGGGCTAGTTGCTTGTTGTCTGAGGTCCACAGAACAAAGCAGCCCCTATTTAACTAACGCTCTGTACGTTCGGAACTAACAAGACCAAGCGTGGGTCTCACTGGGAAGCTGGGATTAGTTCTGCTCGATCTGCAGAGCCCCTGGGCAAAAGGACTATGCCAGGACATTGTAAGATTAACCCAAAGAGAACCCCAACCCACCAAAAACTGAATGTAAACAAGGATAGAGTATGTTCACAGCACTCCCAGTATAAATTTAGGATTATTATGACTCAATAGTTTGCATTTTCATATAGGAGAAAATAAATAACCAAGTCTGAGGATAATCATAGTTATGAAAACATAAGGAATCCATGACTGCTTGCCAGATGTGAGCAAGATAACGTGTTCGAAGATTCAGCTTGGGTTTGAACCAGACGCACACTTGCCTTTTCGCATCCCGTTGGAATTCCATTTCCCACCATTGGAGAGGGGAGAAGAACAAAACAAAATACAGGCTGCAGAGGGGTAGTGAGTGAGAGGAGGATCCCCAGGCCAGGGAGGAGCAGAACTAGAGGCCCTCGGGAAGGTTGCAATAGTTACTATGTTTACAACAGAGGACCTCCGTCTTTTTGTTAAAATCCAGGAAGATGATGTTCTCGCAGTTGGACCTACAGGACAGTTTGGAGTAATAATACATGCTTTGCCCTGAGGAGGTGGAAGAGAAGAAACACAATTGTAGTGACTCCCATTTCTTCTTAGCTATTCAGCTCCTCTCTACTCTTTCTAGGCCTAAATAAAGTGTGAAGCTGAGTCTGCTTTGCTGATCCAGAGAGTGGATTTTCTTCCCTAAGTTACCGAGGACATCAGCCTCTCCTTGGCTTTAGGTGAAACCCGTCCTTTCATTCCTTGTGCATGACCGCCCCCCTAACGGCAAAAAACAAATGAGCCAGAAATGTAAATGCTTCTAAGGGAAGAAGGCGACTACGTCATTGTTACCTTTCTCTGTGAGTAAATAAATGTTTTCTGTAGCACAGGATTGTCTATAATTCAGGATGCAGAAATCCATGACTCCGTAGCAATACCCAAGTTGATAACTTGTACATTTATAGCACATGGTTGTAGTATCTGCCAAATACAGAAAGAGGGACTCAGCAAGCAATCTGGAAGAAGTGCTCTGGAGCTGGGGACTTTCTGCAGATAATTATTGCCTAGCGGCTCCTATCCTTTCTGCATTAGGACTTCTTTGATAATCTGCTGAGAGAAAACCTGTACAAAGGTACATTAAGTGTTGCATACCATTTCAGGAGTTCCGAGTTTCTACAAAATTATCCACGGGCCTCGGGTAGTAAACTCCTTATCTAGTCTGATGATTTAGTCCAGTAAAGGGACAAAGGAACCAAAGAAAGATATCTTTGCTTCCTTTCTCCAAGAAATAGACTATGTCTGGTAGGAGATAGACTCCAAGGAGTCTATAATAAGAATGGATTATAGGCCTGTCCAAAGATGAGGGGGTTTTAAAATGACCTATTTAATAAGGACTTTAAATTAGCATAGTCATACCTTTCAAAAAGCCTTGTGCACCTGTAAAGAGAAGAAAAAGATCTCCTTTGTCACAACCCACAGACTTCTGCATAGCTTTAAAAGCCAATTTTTGAACCTTCTGCCCATCTCTTAACAAACCACTAGCCAGGCTGATATCCCAGGAACTTACCCCAGTTCCAGCTGCGCAGCAGGACTGTGCCCAGCAACAACAGGAGAAGCATCCTGGAACTCTTGCATGTGCAGCGTCCTGTGGCAGATACCTGCTGTGCCCCTTTCACATGCCGTTGGGCTGCTCATCTTAATCTTGTCATCATAAATTTCCGGGGACAGACAGTACCTTCCCAACCCGGGCCTCCAGATCTGATTGTCTCAAAGCAAGTTCAAGAATAGTGCTGACTCTGACTTTGCAGAGATCCTCAAATGAAAGTAAAATTGGGGTGTATATGATTTACCAATCCGGCTCCTACTTGAGTGTCGCAGCTCGTAATCAGCCTGGGAAGGTGTTCTTTCCAGTTCCCTGAGCCCCATCCTAAAAGAGAAGTCTCTCCGTTCCGTTAGCTGCTCACCTGGCTTCCTTTTCTCGGTTTCCACTGCCGTTACTGTAATCTAATCCTTTCTTGTCTCCTGTCCGGATGAAGGAGCAGCCTTATTTTGTTTTATTTTTTAAACTCTTGGTCCTTTGCAATGATTTCTCCATGAAAAGCCAGAGAATCCTTTCTAAGCTATAGATGCCAGATCGCCGCTCATCCACATTTTAAAAAGAAAACTTAAATCTGCTGTCATTGTCAAAGCCTTCCCCACCTCCCTGTCTCCCTCTCCTGCCTCCTGTCCTCGCTCACTCAGGTCCCTGCTCAGATGTGACCCTCTGACAGAGCATCATTTCCTCACTTGTCTCTGAAAATGGCTTCTGCTGTCCACCCTGTTCCCCGCTGGCCGGGATCACAGCAGTTCTCACAACCGGCCTTTCATGTTTATTTGTTTGCTTGTTGATTGCTCTGCTAGAACCAAGCAAGTGTTTTGTTTTATTTATGTGGCACATCCAGCAACTAGAGGATCGGGGCCACATGAAACACCCAAGAAATGTTTTCAAGGTGAACTCCTGATGGTCTCCTCACATGGCTGCTTGCATGCCTCCAGTTCATGCTCCTTAGAATGACCAGATTGATCAGATTAAGTTTTGTTTTAAGTGTAACATGAATCTGAAAATAAGATTTCTATATTTAGGCCAGGATCTCAAGACAGTTAAGGGGCAGGCCATTTTACACTTCAAAATGAAACATGCTACTTATGAAGATTTACAAAGAAAACAGGTGAAAACCAGTTTCATTATCTGGCCTCTTTGCCCACTTGAATGGTATAAATAAACAGTGAAGTACAACATCAGAAAAAAGAAAATTGTTATGCTTTAAGCTGGAGAGTGTCTTCTATGCTTGTAGCACAGAACCACAAAAAAGTCACTGTTTACATTTAAAAAATAATAAAACTTCTACATCAGAGGGGGGAAACCAGCCACTGATCCGTAAGGAAAGTGCAGATTGTTATGGCTTAACTCTAACCAATGCGCCTCCTCTTGTTCTGTATGCACCAATAGGGTTAAGTTTCTAATCCTTGTAAAAACTTAAGTTTCAGCTTCTTGTAACTTTCTACCTCTTTCCACATGTTACTGCTGACGAGCTGTCCCAAGATAATCAACTCTCTACATTCTTTTCCACATGATATTGCAGATATGCTATTCCAAGATAATGTTTATCCGCAGGGTGGGAGTAACAAAATGCACCAAAAGCTCCAGATGTTATCAGAACTAAGTTGACAGCTTTACAGTTTCCAGATGTTGTCAGGAGTAAGTCAACAGCTTAACAGCTCTGCGGGTTTTTTTTTTTTTTCTCTTGCCTTAAAAATCCCTTCTTTATTCTGTGAGGCGCATAGTCTCTGGGTTGATCCTAAGGGGCTGCGTCACCAGGCCTGAAATAAAAAGCCTTTGCTCCAAATTTCTTAATTCCTTGCTTCCTTGGATTTTATTCCGGGGTCCGAGCTATCTCAAGATAAACTTTGGAATTAGGATAAATAAACAGGTTTTTAAAAATTTACAGCTCATGCCACAGACTGAGGGCTAATCTCATTATACAAAGAAATACAGTTTTAAAAGAATAACAGTTCATAAGAGAGTAGGACGTAAGCAACAACATAGTTACAGGAAAAGAAATAAAAATGTTTCTTCAATTTGTGAAATGTGATGTCTTAATCTTTGAGTAATGTAATTAAAGCTAAACTCAGAGACTATGTTTATTTATGAGATTAACAATAATCTGAATTTGTGTTTTCATAGCAACATAACTGTGCTGTGGTCCCCAGATTGGAGTAAAGCAAGCACTCTCACACACTGCCGGTGAGGATGTATGTTGGTCTATCAGTAAGGAAGAAAAGTAAACAACATTTCTCAGAACTACAGATATAGCCATCTTAACCCACAGCTGTGGGGAACTATTGTACACGTATGGCCTTATGTGTAGGGTTTTATTTTTTAGGAAATAAATAGCAGTGTAAATAGATGAGAAACCCTTGTATATCCTTTTAAACAATTGCAATTAAAAAACAAGACTACAAAGTTTGTACTTAATTTTGTATTACAACTATAACTCTTTGTTGAATAGGGCTGTCAAGAACACAAAAGCAAGATGGATAAAATGAGAATGATATACATATTGTGTAATGCTTAAGAGGATATTTTATGCACATGAATTACCGTACACCTTACATAAATAGAATAAAATGAGAATGAAATGAAATTGGAAGAGCATAACATCGACCCATCATTGCTTAAATACCTAACAGTCTCACAATAACAATACTGCTGAGGCAGGAAGGGGGATGTGACACAGGTGGCTGTGTGACCTGTTAATCCCAAGATCCCAGAACCAAGATTGTCCTCAGATAGGCTTTTCAGCCCCGGGAGACAGAATGCCCAGCAGCTCCAGCTCCAGGAAAACCCATAGTTAGTGTAAACTCCAAATACAGTGGGGGACTTTGCTCTGAAAGTGATCTTACCTCATGACAGGCAGCTGTTGGAGAAGACATTCACTACAGTGCCTGCTATATTTGGGAGTGATTTATCAAAAAGCATTTTTGAAAGAAGCTAATTGTTAATACTGAGGTACTATGGGAATCAAAAATCACAGAGCAATTACACTGCAGGGTTTCTAGGATCACAGAAACCAGAAGTGACTGCATGCTACAGGCCACAAGAGCCAGTCACATAAATGGGTCCAGACCTCATGAAAATGCTGCAGGGTGGTCCTAGGCCCCATGCAAAGTTTAAGCTGTGTTGGTCTCAGGACAAGAAGGTCGTGGTAGTCCTGCCCTCTTGAGAAGTCAGACCAGTCATGCATGGTTGTCTAAAGGGGGCTGGATCGGAAAGTGCTGGCATTCAGCCCAGCGGGCAGCTGGACTCCTTCACTGTCTGTACTTAGCACAGAGCTTGGCGGTCTGTTTGCCGGAGCCAACTGTCAATATGATCAAGCGTACTGCTTGGCTCAAACCGTCACCATGCCCTGGGGTGTATGAACAGAGGGGCCTCTGGCCCCGGCACCTCACAAGCCCACAGGCTTACAGCTAGGTAGCGAAATCAGCAACTGGAGAAACACGGGGTGGAGGGCCACACACAGTGAAAGTCCCTGGACTTGCTACTGCCCTGAGGCTGAAATCACATTATTGACTGACCCGACGCTGCAGGAGAAGAGAGGAAAGCACTCAGCATGCGCGTGTATACACACACACACACACACACACACACACACACACACACACGCCCTGTAAGTCTGTGTGAGGCCCTAGCTGTGACTCCATCCGTCCTCCCCACCTGGTGGATTCCAGTACTACAGTCCTCGGAGAGACACAGCTTAGCCAAGCACACAGAGGGATTCTTTGGGAATTGTTCGGTTTTCCTTTGTTTGTTCTTAAAGTTTTTTTTCTGCTCTATTTCTTTTGCTCTTTGTTTTATTTTTGTTTTCCTTTCCTTCTGACTTTTCTTTAACTTTTTACCTAATTTTAATTTTCTTTCATTCTTTAAATGGAGTCTATTTCATTTTTCTCTCCTCCTCTTTTCTTTTTTTCAAGTTTACTTCTTTGGCTCTTCCTTTTCCTTACCCTGCCCACTTTTATTCTTGCTATTAAGCTCTATTAACATTTTAGCTATTTAGTGGGCTGAATGCTATTATTTCTGGGTTTTCTATTGCCAGTGATAACACAGTTGCACTTAGTAGACAGTTACTGTGTATCTGTGTTTGCTTTGTCTGTGCCTACACTATTGTTGCAGATCTTTTCATAAATTAACACATTTGCAGTCTATAAGGATTGCCATCGTCACACAGATGTGGTGCATGTACAAAACACATCTGTAATTCTTTTTTCCCGTTCTCTAGCCCTCTCCTTTTTTCCTTCCCCTTCCAACTCTTGTTCCTCTTTCCATTTACAAAACCTCTATTTTCATCCTTTCCCCTTTTAATTCTTTTATTTTTCGCCTGTTTATCCTCCTCTCCTCCCTTCCTTCCATCTCGTGCTGTCCCATCAATTTGCAATAAACTCCCCACTTCTTATTTATTGAACTGTTTTGATATATATCAAATACTTATATATACATATAAGAGAAATCATGTTGTATTTAAGCTTAAGTGTCTGGCTTATTTCACTTAAGATTATGTCCACTTACCTATGAATGCCCCAACTTTGTCTTTTTTATGTCAAAGTAGTGGTCCATTGCCTATAAATACATTTTCTTTATCTACTCATCTGTTTTGGGGCATACCAGCCATTTTTAAGATTTAGCTATCTGTAGACATCTTTTCTACTGATAAAGGTGATACAGTCACAGCTTTTATTGGTTCTCATGGTATGTCAATATCCACCTTATTGCTTACTGTATTACTGATTATTTCTTTGTTATTTCCGATGATGGCCTCGTTGTTGCTGTTTATTTAATTTTCACAGTATGCTAATGTCAAGTATGTCTTTGAGTTATCAACATTACTGCAATATATTTTGTCTTCTCTGTGCAGTGCTTAGAATTACGCCCCCAGGAAAATTTGGGCACCAGAATGATTCTCAAATATTATGCTGGGTAGATTGAACAGTAGTATAATAGGGTGAGGGTGAGTAAAAGTGACACAAGAAGTTATACAAATCCTGAGTAGAGACTAAGACAATAAGAAAAATTTCCAGTGCCAGGATTTAGCTCAGTGGCATAGGCGCCTGCCTGGCAAGTGTGGGGTTGTGAGTTGGATCCCGGCACAAAAAGAAGAAAAGAAAAGAAAAACTCTTCTAACAAAGAAAAACCCAAGACCTGATAAAATTACCTTAGAATTCTACCAGAACTTCAAGAAAGCTCTAAGGCAAATATTCCTCAAACTCTTCAATTATATAAGAAGTTCGAAAGCAGGACACAGACCTCATTCCTTAAGTACGGTTACCCACATACCAAACCAGACAAGGACTTAAAAAAGCAAAGCTACGACCAATTTCTTTAATGAACATAC